GAAAATTGAATAAGAAATGGCAGCTACATTTTCAAATTGAGGTAACATTTGGAAATGATTTAAGAAGCTTGATTAATGAGAACACAGCATTTTAAGATTCAGTCCTTATGAAGCTTGCATTTACCTTTTGCAGGTTTGAAACAAGTTCTAAATAATGTTCTATCAACCTGTTATAAAGCATTTATAAATGGCATTGTATACAATTATTTACATGTCTTTGGAACATGATAAAACACTCCTTATAATAAATTACTTTGTAAAAGCAATGCCATCAATCATTCATTAAATGTTAATAACATTTATCAATGTTTTCTTTCCTTTAAAGTGACAAGATAAAGAGATATTTCATATTAAAATCTAACAAAATTAAGGATTTTTATTTTTTCCCAGCTTTTTTACTCTATATTTAAACAGAATTTTACCTCTTACAAATTCTAGTTATTTGTATTAACACAGATTTAAAAAAGCATGCTTGCATTTTATAAAACATCCTGCCTCTAGAGTTTGGAAGAGCTCTGTGAGGATGTAAGTGAGGTGGAAAACTGAAATTGGATTGTGCATTAAAATTTCAAAGCACTCTCTGTACTCCTTAACCAGGAAAGTGTCTGTAAATATTTATTCACGTTCCTCTTTAGTATATTTATCTCATCTTCCAGTGATGGTCCCTGAAGCTGGGACCAAATTCAAATTAATAGGCTTTGATTGCATCAAAATAACTGGATATTCTCACAGAGAATTATGAACAATATTTTAAAAGTTGTATTGAACACAATAAAACTGGCATAGGGACTAAAATAGTGGTCCTCCTTAGTAAGTGGTGATGGGGCAATTTTATATAACCACTGTTCTTATAGTCCCAAAAGAGATACTAAATAAAATCAGGACGTAGTTTTGAGGGAATTCAGGATATTACTTATTGAAAGCACTTCTCATGTGGTTGCTGTGGACCTATGATTGTATGCTATGCTGAACCATGGCAATGCATTATCATAAAGTTTGTTCGTAGAGTGGAAGAATGCTTATTTCAATGCTTGGCAGAAGAACTGAGTCTTCAGACAAGGAAATAGGACCTGGAAAAAAGAGAAACATGAGCTAGAATGGGTAAAAGGATACGTGGACTTTGTTGAATTGAGACCTCAGGAATCATAGTGTGTGGATTCGTTACCATGGCAAAAGTGAGTTTCTTAGAGAAACTTCTCTGTGGAAAGCCTCCAAATTAAAAAAAAAAAAAAGCAAACATCATCGGACACATCAGGTTGTCTAGGTTCATGTTTCCTCTGCGTTTATTTCCCTTTGGTTGTCCTAACTCATGTATTTTCAAAGCACTCATTAGTAGAAACATGTAGAGGGGGTGTCTAAAGATTGTCCTTTAGAAGATGGGTCCCAGAATCCCTCATTTTTCTTCATAATACAGCTCCATGCTGATTTCTCCCGACCCCACCACAAAAAAGTCCAAACCTTTTTAGGAAAGGAGGAAGTGCCCAGGAGCACTACAGCTTGCTTATTCTGGAGATTTAGGGTCTTGAGAACTATTCCCAACAAAACCAAACAGAAACACATCGTGTTTGAGTCGATTCCAACTCATAATGACTCAATATAGGATTGCTAAGGCTTTGTAAAATTTTTAAATAGTGACAATCTGAGAAGATGGTGTCTAGTTAAGGCTCACCCACCCGGAGCTCCTGCTGCCAGACCAGAAAATTGGGAAGTAAGGTGAAGGAGACTGGGAGGCAGAGTCCTGAAATTACAACTAGAGTACTAAGGTCTGTCCCAAACCCCAATTTTTGTGACTTCCACTCACAAAGCAAACCAAGAATGCACTAAATCACTCTAGATTCAGTGTGCTGGGCTCATGGGATTCAGCTGAGGAACTACTTTATGCCCTTTCTCAGCGAGTAGTGATTTCCCCAGGCTAATACCCTAAAAGTGACATAATCCCATACACTAGGAGAACCTCTGAGACCTAATCACAGAACCCCACATCAGAGTTCCCTGCACTGTTAGCTGCTTTGAGCTCATAGCCTGGGGAGTGGGGTCAGTGGGTAGACATAACTTTTGGGTAGAAGAAAAAGGAGGAATTTACCTGAGCCAGGTCGTGGTGTGGGAAAAAATAAGTGGATAGTCATAGTCCAGGGGGCAAATTCAGTTACAGTTGGCCGAGAAGAAAACAACCTCCATGATAAGCTGGATCTCCCCCTCTAGGAGTCAGTGTGACAGCCCCCAAATCAGTTCATCCCAATATAACAAAGAGAGAAAATATATTTTCTGAGTAAAAACTGTAAATCCCAGGCTCATCATTAAACTCCAAGGAAACATGTAGAAGAAGTCCCTTAACATAAATTAGCATAATAAGGGAACCCATACTAAGAAATGCCAGAATTTAGTTACAGTGCCTGGAGGCTTTCAACATAACAAAGACCCTCTAGGAGCATAACAAAGACCCTCAAGAGCAAGTCTAAGTTTCTAGCTGAGCACAGAGCCAGGGAGTCTAAATTGACTAAGTCTAAATTAAAGTATTTAATTTACACTGTCTAAATTAAATTATTTAATTCTATTCTAGCTAGCCAGGGGAAAAACAAAAAAAAACAAAACCTCTGAGCTAGTATGGCATTAGCAGTCTAGATAGGACAATAAGCCCAGCACCCCTCTCAGTGATTCTATACACAGCTAGGAATGTACTACCTGTCCTGGGGCTCTGCATGGGGCTGAGGGAACCACCCCCACCCTCTGCCTGCTGTAGTGCTACATACAGCACAAGGCAGGTATACCAG